GGTAGAGCTGCATCAGAGGCAGCAAGAAGAGGAGAGGCGGAGGCGAGAGCTGCAGGAGGTGCAGAGACGCTTGCAGGAGCAGAGGGAGGCAGTAGAGCTGCAGCAAGAAGAGGAGAGGCAGAGACGTGAAGATGAGATGGAGTTCAAGGCTTTGATTCATTCTGATGCACAAGTGAGGAAAAGTTGTGCTTTGAGTTTATGTTCAGAACTCTGTATAAACATCAGTGTGAAGTAAAGACGCTTGTTCTCCTTTGTTTCTCAAAAGTTCTTTAAAAACAACTTTCCTGTTCTGATGTGTTTTCTCCCCCGCAGCCAGTTCCAGACGCTCCCAGTGAAGAGGTTTCAGAGAACACGGGTCGGACTCGTCTCAGATTACTTGCGTTCCTGCTGAGGGCGATAGAGGAGTCTAACGGAGGAACATTATCACACCTCCAAGACCCGCAAAACAAAGAGGCTTCCCCTCACTCACCACCGTGTGGCAGTGGTGAGTCAGTTTTGACACAATTTATTAAATCATTTTCCACTTTACTCCTTCCACCTTCTCGTTTTTCAATTTGTGATTGTATAGAATTACACATTTACTAATAAACTCTTAATGCCCCAGTTGCATTAAAATGCAATACTCTAATTCTGCATCAGTGTTTAAATTCATTATAAAACGCAGTTTCATCCAAATCAAAATAATTTTTTTTATTAAGATCCCATCGCTCAGACCAGTGTTCCTGCTCCAGCGTCCGTCCTCCTGCCACAACTCCTCCCTCCTCCTGTTCGAGCGGCGAAGCCCCCAGTGACCCGCATCAGACTGGGAATCATGGAGGCGACTGAACAACACGAGCTCAGTGCAATTCAAGAGGTGGAGACGCCCTTCAACACCAGCCACGTCACAGGTCGGCTCAGCCCCAGAAAAAAATCTTCAAGTTCTGTTTTCATCACATCGAATATGAGCTGATTTAATGTTTGTTGTTCCTCCAGGCCCAGAGAAGAACCTGAAGGTTCCATCACACACTGTAAACTGGGATCTGCAGGACGAATCAGATTGGTCTGTCGTGTCTGACAGAACTCTGGAGACGCCCTCTGTGTCCAGCCGCGGGAAACGGACAGATGACAGACAGAGCAGCTTTGGGACAAACTCAAAGACATCCAGCCATCACATCTGGAGAGAGAGACTGCTGACCGGAGCAGTAACATCTCCAGAATCTTCAGAGTCTGGTACGTAGAGGTGAAGGAGTACAGACGAGGAGGATCAGGCTTAGGTTAGTGTCTTGTGAAATTCAAACATTTCCACTGAAACCTTGTTTTTTCAGATTCGGTCCTGAGAATAATCTCGCCTCCTTCGTCCGACTCTGGGAGAGGAGCCGACTTCTCTGGTGCTGCAGCCACAAGCTACAGATCCTTCAGAGAGGTAACCAGAGCAACTGATGCTGAACAGCTCGTTCTGTCCTTTGGAACGAGTCACTGATGTTGTGGGGAAAATCTGCAGCAACGACTGATGAGAAAGTTAGAGGTGAAGGAACAGTTCAGTCAATATGCAGTGAATCAGCGTCTGTCTGCTCAGTTAGAAACCTTCTGTTTCTCTTCTGACGTGCAGTTGATCTATGAGTTTGATTAACAATAGTTCTAATTGACATGAATTTCACTACATATTGTCTCTGTGTCTTTTATCTAAAAGTCCTCTGAGGTTCACACGTGGATCGATGATGAAATTTAGCCAAATCTGAAGCTTTGGCAGGATCTGCTGCCTCGGCCTCTGATTATGCTTGAGAAGCTTTTTTCTCTTGTGTGTGTGGCGTCGAAGTCAGGGTGTGATGTCTTTGTGTGTTTGTTCTGAGCAATGATGTGAAATTACTGAACCCAAAGTGTATTTAATTAAAATACATTTCATGATGGTTTCTACACTTGAGCTGAGCTCGGTGTGTGTGTGTGTGTGTGTGTGTGTG